CCTTGGCTCTGTGTTTCTTATTTTAATAATACGATTGGTTACATCTACACCACACTGTTCCATAAAAAAGTGACAGGCAGCTGTGGCTCTGTGTTGGTGCTTCTCATCCCTGCCCCCAGAGGCACAAGAACTGTCTCTGCTCCTGGGCCCAAGAAGCTACTGATGATGGCCAGTATTGATAAATGCTGCCCATCAGCCAGGGTTTTCACTGCTACCCTGGGCTACTTTGCCAAGGTCACCCTTGACACCATCCCCAAGACCTACATCTACCTGACCCCCAACCTCTGGAAAGAGACTGTGTTTACCAAGTCTCTTTATCTGGAATTTGCTTCACCATCTTGTGAAAAGCCACACCAGAGTGTTAGAGATTCAGAGGAACCAAATTCCAGCTGTAACAACACATGAGAGTTTTTATACAAGAGAAATAAAGTGAATTAAGTCTGTTTAAAAAATACAAAAATAATGAGTGCTGGCAAATATAAAATGATCCATTAGACAGAAAGTTCTTTGATCCACACGGGTGCATGTCACAAAACCTGGAATGCAGACAGCCACAGCAGACAGAAAACAGAAGAATACATAAAACATGTGGAAACTGTCACATTGCCTCATGTTCTTTTCAAACATAAGAAGACAACCTAGAAGGAGGTTGGTCTTCTCTAAGACTCCAAGCAATTCCCATTACAATTCTATTTGCTTATTTTACAGAAAGTAGTCCTGAAAGTACCAAGGAACAGCAAAGAGTCGAAAAATCTAAGAGGTTCAAACCTCGAGGTGATCTCACAGTGTGTTACAACTAGAGCAATGGAAACCACTTAGAATTATTATGACAACAAACAATAAGAGATATTCATGGAAAGACAGTGCAGACAGAGTTTAATAGTCTGTAAATATACCTCCTGATTCTTATCAAAATTGTTGGCTTTATTTTCAGGAATAGAAAATTAACACTAAAAGGTGAAGAATGTGCTAGAATATCAAAAGCTTCCAGATTCTGAAAAAAAAAATAAACAAATGTAGATGTCACATTTTGATCATTTTATATAAAATCATAGAAATAAAATACCAATTAATATTGGTATGATGACATGATTAGTGATGTGAATGAATAATGACAGCATCACTCACATGCATAATCAAATAAAATTTTATTTGCCTCCTCATATTAATTCTTTCTTAGAAAGTCTTATCATACCTACAATAGGATAATCCTAAGGAGACTTTTCTCAGTGGAAGTCTCCAGAATTATTTCTAGTGAAACAAAATGTGGCAAAACTGATTTCATGTCCAACTTCCACATTCACTTGATCCCCTTTCCACTCCTTCACCAATGTCTCCACTATACCTGCACCTTTAGCTCCTGTCTCCTCACTCTCCATCTTCTAGGGCACTTTTTTTCTGCTCAACAGGTGAGTAGGTTTTGCTGATCAGTGAGACCTGCACATGAGGAAAAGATTCTTCAGAAAGCACCTGGATTTCTAACACAGTACTGTGCACAGTCAAGAGAAGACAAAATACAGGATTATACAGGTGATTTCCCAATTGTCATGCAGTGTCAGAATACTGAAAATATTTAGATAGCATTTTAAGTTAGCATCATTTGAATCCAAATTCTGATCACACCCCAGTCAAATCTCAGGGGTAGAAATGGAACTAAATGATTGGAATGAGAATATTATACACTAGTGAGGTTCTGAATTAATCATGAACCAAAATTGATAGACGCTTTACACCTCCCAAAGGGCCACATTTCATGTAGATTTTCTTTGTTCCTCTGAGGATTTCACTTTACTCTGTGAGATGTGAGACTCATTCACATAAAGTTCATACATTTGCAGAGTAATCTGCCAAGAAACCCAGAGGAGGAGCAGGCAAACTATTCTCACCCACAGAAACCAGACTGCTCTAATTCTGTAATATCCAGTCTCTGTACAAAGCCCTCTGAGCAGGCTCCAGGGAGAAGTTCACAGTCACACCACTGGCTGTTAACAGACCACAAATAAAATAAAACACAACAGTTTGAACCATCCTGTTGGTGCACACCTTTAATCCTGGAGCTTGGGAAACAGAGGTGAGTGGAATCCAATCCAGCCTGGTCTACAAGGTAAGTTTGTGGCCAGAGAGAGCAAAGACATCCATAGCAGAACTTCAGAGCCGGCTTCCTTATCAACAGCAGAGAAACTGCTCGCACCCCTGATCCCTTTTCTCCCGTGTCCCAGCCCCGCAGCTCCTCTGACCTGGGAGGTTCCAGGGCCGCCGGGCTGCGGTTCCCGCCACTGCGCTGCTGACTGGTGACTTTCCCAGGCCGCCCCGCGCGGCGACTGCGGGGACTGCGGCTCCGGGGAGATTTCCGTACCCCCGACTCCCAGCCGTGTCCTCCGCACCCAGGTCTGCACCACGAGAATCCCCACCGGGCAGGACTCGGTGCAACGACAAGGAATGGGCACTTCAACGCTTCTAGCTCTTGCTCCTCCGCCCAACTCACCGGGCCTCAGAAAAGCTTCTTGCAGGCCTCCGTTACGTCAATCCTCTAACCCCTCCCACTCACGCACTTCACCAATGGCCATCAACCTCCTGTTTCCCGGTGAGTGGCCTGGTCCCACTGAATCTCAAGCTGCTTTCCACAAAGCTCCAGCTGTCAGGCTGCCCTGGACCCGCTCTGCACAGCCTCCCCACATGCTCGCTGCCTTCCGGCCTAGACCAGAACTGGATCTAGGAGGACGCTGCACCCGCGTTTTGACCACTTCGGGTAGAAATTATTCAGTCTAAGGCTTCATTTTGGCATTCCAGTGTCCTGGCCTATATACTCAGATAGAAAAACCAACAATCACCCGAAATCCTAATGCCAGCTTCCACACCCCAAACACTAAGATGAAACATTGCTGCTCCAAATCACCATTTCCATAGCTGTGTCCCCTTAAGGAGACCAAAGTAGATAAAATATGAGAAACAGAGCACACACACACACACACACACACACACACACACACACACACACACACCACAATGAGATCAAAGTACATAAAGAAGACCCTGACATCAAGGAGGACAGGAACAAAGTGATTGAGTGACAAGAAAACACAAGCAAATGGCTTGTCCTTGAAGAACGAGGACAATTCAGACTTTGAAAAGTAAATTCAGTAAGGCGTTAGCAACACCAAAGAAAACTCAACAGAATCGAAACAGGAAGTGGAAAACACAATAATCATAATAGTAAATCAATGAAAAACCTCACCACCAGAAGAGACCAAGTAGGAGACCAAAAACTAACTGCCCCATCTCTTGGTAATATGGGTGTTGTGTTCTTAAAATTGCTTCCTGCTGTGTGTAAGGGAAGGCATCTTTAGGGGAGCCTCAAAAGAAAATTTTTTGGGTTAATAATCAAGTCCTGGGAGAGGTAGCTGTATCATTTGTTGTTCAGTCTTGGCATAATGTGAAAGTGCAGGGCTTATCTCAAGTCCTCGCTCTAATAGTCTATTGTAAGGCCCTGGTCTTCCCATTTTGAGTAAGCTGTTGCCTGCTTGCCTTCCTTGACCAGATGTCCTCCCTATGCTAATTCCCTGCCGGTTTCCACCCTGCTGAATGCTTAAGGGAAGTTCCTTGTTTGTGGATCCTGCATATTGGGCCTTAACAGCTTAGATGCAAGATTTTAAGCATCAGCATCGAACTTCTGCCCTCTGGGGTTCTCCCATTGTGCTGTAAGCCTGTATTTAAGGTTTCCTCCCTCTTTCAGACATGGTGAACGGGTGGTGGTAGCGCAGTCTATGAAGCTAGATCATCTCAGCTAGCCATCTCAAAATTGTCCTGATTACTTTGGGTTCTGTTTGTCAACTTAGTGGTATTATTATTGTCCATGTGGAATCGTCATTGTGGGGCTTCATCATCTTTCTGGAGACTTCAAGCTTGCTGTTAGGCCTGGTCATGATTCTCTGAAGAAAACTGATAGACTCCAACACAAAAACAAGTATACATAGCTAAATGAAGCCTTTTTTTTTTTTTTTTTTTTTTAGAATTAGTACTCTATGTGGCCATTAACATCATAACAAAAGTTTAAAAAATATATATCTTATAAACTTCGATATAAAATTCATACATTAAGAAAGGTTTAAAGAACCAAAGAATTGAGATTATTGGTAATAGAATAATCCCTTAATTTTGATTTTCTAACCATGTATGTGCATTTGGAGATTTGGTTTGAAGAGAAGAGATAAATAGAAGAACCAGACACTTGCCTTGTGTGAATATGGGGCTATGGTTGTAGGGGAGGGTATATGTATCAGGATGTATCATATAATTGGGTATTATATGTGGGCTTTGGTTATGGGGGAAGGGTTATGCGCTGTTTCTTATATTTTTCTTTGGTTTCCATAGGGGACACAGGCAAGGAAATGGTGATTTGGGGCAGCAATATTTCATGTTAGTGTTTGGGCTATGTGAGCTAGCATCAGGATTTAAGGGGATTGTTGTCTCTTTCTGAGTTTATAGGACAAGACACTGGAGTCCCAAAATGAGGCGTTAGACTGAACAATTTCCACCCAAAGTGGAAAAAACTCATTATAAGATGATCAGATACACGGGTGCATCATCCAACTAGAAGCAGTTCTGGTCCAGGCTGGCAGCGAGCATGTGGGGAGGCTGTGTGCAGAGCGGGTCCAGGGCAGCCTCACAGCTGGAGCTGTGTGGAAGGCAGCCTGAGATTGAGTGGAAGGGACCAGGCTCACAGAGGCGGGGACACACAAAGGGAAACAGTAGTTGGAAGAGGTTGTTGGCCTTTGGAAAGGTGTAGAGGAAGTGCGCAGGTGGGAGGGGTCAAGGGAGTGGCTTAACGGAAGCTGGGAAGTCCTCTCACTGAGGCCCGGTTAGTTGGGCTGAGGAACCAAAACAAGTACCTGTTCTCTGTAGTTGCACCAGGTACTGCACGGTGGGGAACCGCGTGGTGCAGACCTGGGAGCGGAGGACACGGCAGGGACTCGGGGGGACGCGAAATCTCCCCGAAGCCGCAGTGGCCGCGCGGGGCGGCCTGGGAAAGTCATCAGTCAGCAGCGCAGTGGCGGGAACCGCAGCCCGGCGGCCCTGGAACCTCCCAGGTCAGAGGAGCTGCGGGGCTGGGACATGGGAGGGGAGGGACCAGGGGTGCGAGCAGTTTCTCTGCTGTTCATAAGGAAGCCGGCTCTGAAGTTCTACTGTGGATGTCTTTCCCTTGGTGTATTTTAGATCATATGAACTGGACTAATCCTGATTCTTTTTCATTGATTTTCTGGTTACCAAAATATTCTTATAAGAAAACTCTAGTAGAATATTTGAATTTATTTGTTGATATTTGCAAACGTGTTCTCTTTACTATGATGGATAGAAAAGAGCTCTTGAAATTCACATTCATCACCCTAAGTTCCGCGTTAAATCACTTACCTCTTCAAAAGAATGGCATCAAGACCTGGGGAATTGGCATCCCTGGAGAGCTTGCGTGCAGATTTGATTGATCCTCAGAAAAAAAAAAATTTTTCCGAGCTCCGCACCGCAGTTATGGTTGTAAACATTAACATTTAAAATTAAACATTTTATCCATTAATTTTTCATCTTAGAAATATGCACTCTTTAATGTAGATACAGCATTCTGAAAAGTGTCCTTTTCAGGCTTGGTGGCACAGGTTTTGAATACCAGAACTCAGGCAGAGGCAGGCAGATGTAAGTTTGAGGCCAGCCTTAGTTCCAGGACATCCATAGCTATATTATGAGACCCTGTCTCATAAACAAAGAAACAAAAACCAAAATTTGTCTCCTTGTGCCTGAGTTCTGAATGTTGCACCTGGAGTCTGGAAATCACATCATGCTGCTTAAGGGTATCAGGTCACACTATTTTCACAGTTAGAAAAGACATTGTAAGCCAGGTGGTGGTAGCCCATGTCCTTAATCCTATCACTACGGAGGCACAGGCAGGTAGATCACTGAGTTCAATGTCAGCCTGGTCTACTGAGCAAGTTTCAGGACAGCAAGGGCCACACAAAGAAATCTTGTCTTGAAAAAACCAAAAAGGAAAAGAGCATTTTAGTATAGGATATTGTTAGAATGCATCTTTTGAATAATTACAATCACTCATCTATATCAGAAAAATGTTTGCAATAGTCTTTTGTCTTCTTGGTTCAAGAAAAGTACTCTGTCCATGAACATGACCAAATTGTTATTTTCTGGTTCTTGTGCTTCCTTCATTTGAGATGTGATCTCACAATGTGCCTCTGTCTGGTCAAGAACTCACAATGTAGACCAGTTGACAGAAACTAACAGAGCTCCACCCACCTCTTTCTCTGAAGGTTTGCACCAACACAACCATTCAAACCATTATCTTTTTCAATTGTGGTCTGTTGACAGCCAGTGGTGTGACTGTGGACTTCTCCCAAGAGGAGTGGCAATGCCTGGATCCTGCCCTGAGGGCTTTGTACAGAGACTGGATGTTACAGAATTAGAGCAGTCTGGTTTCTGTGGGTGAGAATAGTTTGCCTGCAGTCTCCCTTGTTCCTCCTCAGGGTTTCTTGGCAGATTATTGTGCAAATGTATGAGCTTTGTGTGAATGATTCTCACATCTCACAAAGTGAAGTAAAATCCTCAGAGGAACAGAAAATCTACATGAAATGTTCTCTTTTCTTTCTGTGTGTCCGTTTGGGAGATGTAAGGCTTCCATCATTTTGGGTCCATGATAAATTTAGAACCTCACTAGTGTATAATATACCTATTCCAATAATTCAGGTCTGTTTCTACAACTGAGATTTACTGAGCTGTGATTAGAGATGGGATTCCATTTACACTAACTGAAAATGCTTTCTATCTGCATGGCAATTGGGGAAACACTTGTATAATTTTGTGCTTCGTTTTCTCTTTGCTGTAGAAATTTAGGTGTTGTCTGAAGAAACTTTTTTTGTGCAGGGCTTACTCATCAGCCAGCCCTGCTCACTTGGAGAGCAGAACAAAGAGCCCTGAAAGGTGGAGAGTGAGGAGAACGTGGCTAAGGATCCAGGTATGGTGGAGACATTGGTGAAGGGATGGCAAGGGGTTCAAGTGAATGTGGAAGTGGGACATGAAATCAGTTTGCCACATTCTGTTTCACTAGAAATAATTCTGGAGATTTCCACTGAGAAAGATCTCCTCACGATTTTCCTATTATAGCTATGAGAAGAAATTCTAAGAAAGAATTTAGAGTGTGAGTAAAATAAAATAGTATTTGTTGATG